CTGTTAGTGTCAGTGCTATTACTGATGTGAATGTTCACATCTGTTAATGTGAATGTTTACACCAGCATCTACTAATGTGTGTTTGTACATTACTGAAACAGTAATGTGAATGTTTTCATCAATGTTGTCAACTTCTACACCAAAGCTGAGAAATGTGAACATTCACATCAGTAATAGCACTGACACTAACAGTTGTGAACATTCACGTCAATTACTATTGAGTACTGGGTAAACTTAGAGTAGTACACACTGATGTGAACATTCACATCATGTGAATGTTCACATTAATGTCAGAACCCCCAAACTTCACTCAAAACTGTGATGGCGTATGATGTAAACATTCACATTGTGACATCAATGCCCAAGTTGTTTGTGTTATTGGGTGTAGTTTGGCGCTGTTGGTTCCCCCCTTTGATTTTTAGCAAATTATAACATAATGTGTTCACCCATGTAAGCATTCACATTGCCCAGTAACTGTTATCGTGTTCGAAATTTATTTATCAAACATGGATGATGTGAACATTCACATTAGTATTGAGTACTGGCATTGCCCTATAACTGTTGTTGTTTTCGGAATTGATTTTGCAAACATAGATGATGTTAACATTTACATTACTATACTGGGTAAACTAACATTAGTATACACTGATGTGAACATTCACATCAGTGATGTGAATGTTCACATTACTGTCACTGTTGATTGTTAAATGTTGTTTGGTGCTTTTGGTTCCATCCTCAGCCAATTATATGTTCTTATTTGAACACCCAGGTCTTCCCCATAGATTTGATGGCAAGCGGAAGAGAGGGGAATCCCATGCCAAAGCCAAACCTGATCAAATAGTTGTTCCTGAAGAAGTGAACATGAAAAAAGTTAACTACTGGTCAAATATAACTGGATTGGTCAAACTGTTAAAGGATACAAAATTTACAAGTGGCCAATTGAAGTGCCTTAGAAAAACAGCGTTCTGGCCATTATTTGATAGCTTGATCAGTAACGAAATCGACCTTAACCACTGCATGAAATATGATGATGTCATTGTACGTATAGTACAAACATTCAAGCAATCTAGTGGAAGGTTTTACATTGGGGATAAGAACATCCAGAGTTTTAGAAGCGACGTATCATTGATTTTTGGGGTGGACTGCAGCACCAAGTCGATGGACCTCTCTTATGGTGCAAAACCAACAACCGGCATCATACATCGAATGTGCAAGGATGTTAGTCGGTTAAGTGCTGCCAAAATACGAGAAATTCTGAGGGAAGCATTGAAGGGCACAAAAAAAATGACGATGAGGAGGTCACAAGATTAGTTTGCATGTATGCATGCGTCAAGCTATTCTTTTCTACATCCGGAGAAACAATTGGATAGGTTTTCTACTCATACATGGACCCATTAGACAAGATGATCGAGTATGATTGGGCTGAGAGCATCCGGGCAACCTTGATGGGTTCATTGGGCCAAAACTGTGGAAAATCAGGACGAGTCACCGGATGTGTGATGTTGTTAATGGTAAATCTCATAAAACTTATTCTATGTTTAATATGAACATATACGGGCTCTGGACTCTCTGATGTGAATGTTCACATTTCTCAGCTTTGGTGTAGAAGTTGACAACATTGATGAAAACATTCGCATTACTGTTTCAGTAATGTACAAACACACATTAGTAGATGCTGGTGTAAACATTCACATTAACAGATGTGAACATTCGCATCAGTTGTACCACTCACATTACCAGATGTGAATATTCACATCAGTAACATCATTCACCATTAGCAAAATGTGAGCATTCACATAGTAATAGCACTGACATGAACAGATGTGAACATTCACATCAATAGTATCACTCACGTTAACAGATGTGAACATTCACATCAGTAACATCACCCACCATTAACAAATGTGAACATTCACATCAATAATAGCACTAACACTAACAGTTGTGAACATTCACGTCAGTAATATCACTCACATTAACAGTTGTGAACATTCACATCAGTAGTATCACTCAACATTAGGAAATGTGAACATTCACATCAGTAACATTACTCCACATTAGTAGATGTGAATATTCACATCAGTTTTAACTGATGTAAACATTCACATTACTGCCCTAGTGGTGTACTGTGAACATTCACATTACTGCACCAGTGGTGTAAACATTCACATCAATGTTAATTCATATGAACATTCAAATTACTGATATTTGTTATTTGTTTCAGTATTGGCTGTGTGAGCATGCAACAATCTTACAACCCCGCAACCCCAATGCCATTCCACGATGCGTAAAATGGGACCTCACAGCCTTACATAGCAACATGAAGTCCATAACTTTGGCTAAGCTAGGTTTAAATGAGGTAGAAGTACAACCAAATATATTGAGCTTATTCACATAGTGAGACGAGGGACTATCTAACTAACATACTGTCTCGAAATGCAGGTATATGGCGGCGAGCTAATGGCATCACCAACTGAAGCGAAGATGTATCGTCATACGAAATTGAATGTGGAGCCAAAACCTGAGATTTTGTCAAGTGCAGTAGCAAAGAAAGATGAAAGCAATGAGGATCAAAGCAAAGACAGTCAACGCAGTGATGACAGGGATGCATTTTCTGTCGATGCAGTGGACCTGAATGATGTTGGACATTATATCAACCCCAGCTGTAGCACCCCCAATGCTGAGAAAGGAATCATCATAGCACAACCAACTGAGCCCGACATTGTGGAAGTACTCATAAAAGAAAACCAAATAGCTTGGGCTCTTGTACGGCAATGGGAAGCGAAATACAGACAGTTGGAAGAATCATGGGAGTTGAGGGCAAGGGTGATTGCTGCCCTTGAAGCCAAACTATTTGACCAATCGGGCTCATCCAATGTGGACATGCACATGAAGACTTGCATGGAGTGGAAAGATACAGAAATTCAGCGGCTGACAAAGTTGGTCATCAACTTGGAATGCGAAAAAACAATACTTGAAGACCTTTTTGACGATCAGTCCGTACACATCATCACTCAAGTTAAAGCACAAAAGGCTCATGACAGCCTTAACAACAATCCCACTGCAGCATTGGAACACATTATCAGCCCCCCATCAAGGGTAAAGCGCATAAAGCAGAAGGTAAGGAAAGAACACAGGTTGGACGAGTTTGAATACCCCAACCTGCCTGGTCAGAAGAAAGGGAAAGAAGGAGCCGAACAGCAATCACATGCAGTCCAAATTGCACAAGATTTAGACAAGCAACCACCAAAAAAGCAGCCAACAAAGTCCAAGAAGTTAACCTTGAACAACAAACTGAAGGTCTGGGCTAACATGAACAAACTCAACAAGCAAAAAGTCCAAAATTTGCACAAGAACGGCGGTGATGAGTAAGTGATCTTACATATCCCCAACTGCTTTTTTTTCCATCATGTTCAGTTCACATACATACTTAATAAATTAGACCATTTCATAAATGTGCAATGTTGACATTAAAATTTTCTGTAATCACAATGCACAGGTTGCTAGTGTGGCGAGGGGACTCAAAGACTAAACATGTGTATTTTGATGACATCATACACCTCATCAAGGAAGAATCAATAACCAACAACGTATGGCAACTGTAAATGTGTACAAAACACACACACACACACACACACACACACACATAGAGTGAAGACACTGTAAATAATGTACTGCCACCCCTCCGGTTCTGCAGGTGATAGATGCTTATGGTGAAATTCTACTTGAACTACAAGGGCTAGTCAACCCAAGTTTGGAAGATTCATCATTCATCTTTACAAGCACATGTTTGGTAACCACTAGACTTTAATTTTGATTATGTTTCAATACATGTGGATGTTCTTCTCAGCATTACATGCTTACATTGTTAACTTAAATAATAGGCAGATGTGAATGTTAACAACAACATAAAATGACCTTTGAGAAGATTCACATTGACAGATGTGAACATTAACATCATTCGCATTGAAGATTATATGCTTATTATGTTGATAAACTTAAATGATACACACATGTGAACATTCGCATCAGTAATATAACTGACATTAACAGATGTGAACATTCACATCAGCAGTATTACTCACATTAACAGATGTGAACATTCACATCAGTAACATCACCCACCATTAGCAAATGGGAACATTCACATCAATAATAGCACTGACATTAACAGATGTGAACATTCACATCAGTAGCATTACTCACACTAACAGATGTGAACATTCACATCAGTAACATCACCCACCATTAGCAAATGGGAACATTCACACCAGTAATATCACTGACATTAACAGATGTGAGCATTCACATCAGTAGTATCACTTACCATTAGGAAATGTGAACATTCACATCAGTAGTAGCACTCACCAATACGAAATGTGTTCCATTTGATGTTATTGATGTGAACATTCACATCAATGTCATTAACTCACTATTACGAAATGTGAACATTCACATCAGTAACATAACTCCCCATTAGCAGATGAACATTCAAATCAGTAACACCAAACATTGATATAAATACTTGGTACATCATTGTATGCCCTTTGTGTGCAGAAAATCATGCAACAGTACCCCCCCCAAGAGGAATAAACTAATTGATGTACACATCAAGGAGTATCAAGGCCAGAGATTCTTAATCTTCCCAATACACGACAACTTTCACTGGACAATTGTTGTGTACGATGTGAAAGAGAATGTATGGAGGCATTATAACTCACTGCGCCCAAGAGAAGGCATACATGACCCACATATTGACAAAGCACAAATACTGGTAAGTGGCTGACAAAAATAATACTTGTCGTGATGTGTAATATTTGAACTTGGACGTATGCCCTATGTTGGTTGGTGCCTAATATGAAATTTCATTATTGGCAGAGGGACTACATCACAGCTTTGGTGCACAACATTGGACCATCATCACCATTATAGACCAATTTATCAAGCCAAAATACTTTAAAAACAATCATATCAGTGGACATCTGTCCTCAGCAAGCATCAAATTCGTAAGCCTAAAATCAATTTCTACACATGTTCCACAACCATTACCCACCTAAATTTCAAAATCTAACAAGAAGTTTGCATTTTCAGGGTGGATTGTGGGCCTGTAGTTTGTTACATCATGAGGGCCCATGTATATCGTGAAGACATTGTTGCCAGCCTAGATCGTTTTGAATGGTGTCAAATAAGAGACTCATTAGTACACCTTTTTCTGAACCACAGAAAGACAGTGCAATGTGAAAACCTATAGGTGGGGGGTGTCCACCTATCACTGTTACCCAAATCTGTTATCCACATTTAAGACAATTTAGTTTCAATAGATTTTTCATATTGGAGCAGACTAGCTTAATTGTAAATCAAGTCTATATCACTGCTTGTACAGATATTTTTCAGTCAATATATGTATATGCATTTTCAGGCCTATTTTGCGTTGGTCATGCACATTGAGATTGTATTTTCTTTTTTTTTTTTTTGGATACACATGACATGATGTCAATGTTCACATCACAGAATGATCGTACACTTTCTTCTATTTTAAACCATACTACATTGATGTGATTATTGCTTAAAGTGTTCATGTAACACAATATGACAGGTGTGAGTATGATATTTTTTAACACAAATCAATATTCACATCTAATAATTTGATGATGTGAATATTCACATCATAACTTCTGATTATGCGAATGGCAACAATGATGTCATGAATATTCACATCTTATGAGTTGATGATGCGAATGTTTACATTGATGTAAACATTGCTGTTAACAGTAACAACAATGTGAACATTCCTACCACAGAAATGTTTGAAAGTTGAACAATGTGAACATTCACATAATGTGATTATATTACATAAGTGTGAATGTTAACAGCATGCATTCATCCAAAACACAACCAACATAAATGTCAGATTGGTACCTTAAAAAAGTAAAAATAAAACACAAATCAAACACTAATGCATTATTATGTTTGCCAACGCAACGTAATCTTATTGCAACCCAATGTTTGCCAACACAACACAATCTTATTTCAAAAATGAATATAAGAATCTAATGTAAAATACAATGTTGAAATGAAAAAAGGTACATCTTATATCGGCTCCGTGCATGATTTTCGATTATGGCTCCCCAACTTATCACATCTTCCGCACTTTATTTGCTTCAGTTTCTCACCCCTTGATGGGATCCTATTCTTCTTCGGCCTTCCGGGTGGTCTTTTCACGGTTGGTGGGTATATAGTGAAGTTCGTGGGATCAAAAGGCGGCTTCTCCACCGATGGTATAGGGAATATGGCTCCCGAATAGGCTGCACGATATGTCTCTACATGAAAGTAATGTTCTACACAATCATTGAGATTGCAGCAGCTCTTCTGAATGGCAATAACAGCATGGTCACATAGGAATCCGTTGATTTGCTATTTGAAGCAAGAACACGTACGCCTCGCAACATTAACTGTAACAGATGGTATCGAATGAACTTCAAACACATCCTCGTTGGCTTTGCTAACTTGCCAAGACTTGCTGTCATTGAACGAATCCATAAGCCTTGTTTCGAATGTCGAACAAATAATCTCATTCCATTTGTTTGCTTGGTCACGCCGTGCAAACATTTGCCGCATCAACTGAGTACGAATTTTGTCCACCATTTGAGTGATAGGAAGATTACGTGCTTCTTTAATCCAGTTATTAAATGACTCCGCCGCATTGGATGTCATCTCCCCATAACGCATGCCCCTGCACAATATCACAAACATTTTACAATACGAAAGTTAACAGGTCTGAACTTTCACGTTGACTGATGTGAACATTAACATCATTCGCAGTGAACATTAACATCAACTTACACAATGCACAGAAGTGAACACTAACATCAACTTAAATGACAGAATGATGTGAATGTTAACAACTGCAAAATATGACAACAGATGTGAACATTCACATCATTCAAATCAATTATCATTATCAGATGTGAACATTCACATCATTAACATTGAACATGAAACACAATTGGAAGATTTTTACAATTCTTAAATGAAAATTCACATCACTACCATTCTGACTTGACAAATGGAACACTTTATGAAACTATTATTACCTGAAGTATGAATTTGCCTAGTGCTCAGGTGTCAAGTCCTTGAAAAAATCATGTGCTCGTTGTTTACCCTCCTCTTTTAATTTTGCAAGCTTTTCATGGAACCCTACCACAGTTGGCTCGTAGGCACAGTCACCCAAACTACTTACTAGGTGATCCCTGAATCCATTATCAATTCCTTTCATCCGGTCTCTTAAATTGCTCTTCAAGTGTTGTAAGCAATAACCGTGATGAGCCGATGGGAACACCTTTGGCATAGCTTCTAACAGACCAAGATTACGATCCGAAATAAAAGTAATATGGCGCTTCCCATCAACAACCTTCCCAAGTTCATGCAAGAACCACGACCAATTCGCCGTGGTCTCCAAATCAACAATCGCAAATGCAACAGGAAACGGACCTACAACACAACACCAATATGCAACTGTTCACAATATTCCAAAATGAATAGAAAACAATATAAACGAAACAGGTCATGTGAATGTTTATATCTACCTTGCCCTATTACTATTGTTATTTTTGAATTCAAGATCGTAAATATCAATGATGTGAACATTCACATTAACGACCATCAATAATTCATTTTTGATTGTTCAGTAATTGATAATGTGAACATTCACAGTACTGTTCATTAATAGATCAACTAACATTAGTATACACTGATGTGAACATTCACATCAGTGCATACTAATGTCAATGTTCACAGTACTTATAATTTCTCCATCACTCATTTGTCCATACTATGCATGTCAATGTGAATCTTGACATGAATATAGAGGTAAAAAAATTACTAACCATTGTTTCCGTCTTTTGCCGTTGCCGCCAGTAGCTGACCTTTGTACTTTCCTTTGAGGAATGTTCCATCCAAGAATAATAAAGGTCGACAAGAATTGAACCCAGAAATACACGCAGCGAATGACACAAAGAAACGACAAAACTGTTGACTACTCACATCATAGTCAATATTGACATAACTCCCCGGATTGTACCGAATCACAGCATCTGAATACCCCCACAGCTGGTCAAACGATAATGAGTGATCTCCATGAATACCAGCCTTTGCTTTCTCTACAGCCAACCATACAACATGGTAACTCACATCTAGCCCATAATCCCTCTTCAAAATAGTCACAACATCACACGGCTGAGTCAACGGCTTGTCCCTCACAATTTCAGATATGGTACTCGACACCAAATCCGAACTAACTCGCAGATTCTTTGATGTTCGGACATCCGTACCACAAGTATGCACATCACTAAAACTCTTGATGTAGAAAAAATCATTTGCTTGTTGTGCTCTACAATGTATAGCCCACAAGCAGCCCCTCTCCTTCCGCATTACACACACAGCAATAACTCTTGTTGTCTTGTTCTTCATGTATGTAAACTGAAACCCACATTGGATGGCATACTTACATAAAACATCACGAAATTCTTGTGCACCTCTAACAAAATGTTGTCCCACATGCGTAATACCATTTGCCCAAGGGGCTGACAACAACACCTTCTCCTTATGGTGGCAAAATCTCCGTAGTGCATCAATTTCTTCCTCAACCCCCACACGCACCAATCCCAAACTAGTTGATTGACCAATATCACTTTTCAACTCAACCACAACTTCTACATGTTGTACCCCCATTGATTTAGCAAGCAGTAACATGTTCTGAAATTCTTCCACATTGTCCAAATCACACTTACTAATCCCAGGTAGTTTACAGAACAATGAAATAGAACCAGCAGACAACTCATCCCATTTCTCACACAAACACTCCACCAAACAAGAATAACACATTGCGCGGGCAACATTTATTGCAGTTGTACTGCAACCATATGTACACACCAACAGCATAAAGGTATCCATCTCCTATAGAAACACAAAAACACAACAATGAACAGTAATAAAAATCAATATGAAAATTCACATTGTGCAAAAAATAGATGACTGCGCGTACAGTTCAAGTGCTAAATCCATAATTCACAATACGAAGATTTGAACATTCACATTGATATTAACAACATGCCAAAATTAAGCAAACATCAAAGTAAAATGAGAAAATCAACAATCTTCACATAATATTAACAAGATGTGAACATTTACATTGACACAGACACTCTGAATTATATGACACACATAGAGCCTCATTCAGCAAACATCAATTTTAAATGAGAACATCCACATAATAGATGACTACGTGTACAGTTCAAGTGCTAAATCCATAATTCACAATATGAAGATGTGAACATTCACATTACTATTAACAAGATGTCAACATTAAGCAAACATCAAAGTACAATGAGAACATCAACAATCTTCACATAATATAATGATGTGAACATTCACATCAGTGTATGATGATGTAAACATTCACCAAAATCGACATGAAAATTCACATTGTGCAAAAAATAGATGACTACATGTACAGTTCAAGTGCTAAATCCATAATTCACAATACGAAGATGTGAACATTCACATTGATATTACCAAGATGTTAACATTAAGCAAGCATCAAAGTAAAATGAGAATATTAACAATCTTCACATAATATTAACAATCTTCACAGAGTCTCATTAAGCAAACATCAATTTAAAATGAGAACATCCACATTCTTCACATATTCCACATTCACAAAATGTGAATATTCACATTGATATATATACTGATAATCAAATCATCCACAAAGAGCCTCATTACGCATGCATCAAAGTCAAATGAGAACTACACATTCTTCACATAATACGAATGAACTCCCCTCCACATAACCACGTAAAATGCATATAATTGAAAAAACAGAGCATTCAATCCATATAAATCAAAAAACAGAGCATCTGATCCATTATACGAATGAAACTATAAACTAAACATGTATTCATAACCAAATTGATACTAACCTTGATCATGCAATCCTACAATCGTACAGAAAGTTGAAAAAAACTGATTTGAACTAGTTATAATCCGAAAAATGTAACAACCGAACACCCTCCTCTTCGTCGTCTTCACTCGCAAACCACAGAACTAGACTACAACAGCAAGGATGAAACCCTAGTACAACCAATCCTTGTAACGAGCATGCAAAACATAAACGTATCTCTCGGAATTGGATTGATGATGAAAAGCATAAAATAGAAATTGCCAAACTGCATGAGCGAAGAAACAGGCACCTATTACGTATTAACACTGTACATATATATATACAGGGGCAAAATAGTCCAAGAAATTATATTAAATTAGAAAAATGGACCTTATGGAATAAAAAGAAAAGTTTATGGGACTAATTAGGTTATAATATTTTTTAGTGGACCTAATAGGTTATAACAACTCTAGAATGGATTTATCAATAAAAATCCCTTTTTTTAATCTATCAGCAAAATTGTGAGATGGTAAAACATTAGAATAATGCTGAAAGAGATGGCATACGTGTAAAAATTGAACACATGTTGGACGTGGGCCGTGGGGCATTCCGCTTCCGCCGACGCATGCGGACAAGAGTGGATAGAGGTACGTACACCCACCACTCTTTCTTCCCGCGTTCGCTTTTCTTCTTCCTTGATTTTTCTTTGTTCTTGTTTATAAAATTATATTTCTTTAATTTTTTATTGAGATTTTTTTTTGTTTTTTATGAAAATATATATATATATAAAAAAGTAAAGAGATAATGTGACTCAAATAAGAAGAAATTATTCAATAATTCCGGAACACTAAGTGATTAATACTCCAAGCCAATCACTAATTACTTAGTCACATGTTGTTCTCCATCCTCAACATAAATCGTGGGCCACTGCCCTTCTTTACCAATCAAAACTTTAGGAAACACTATAAAGAAATACTGAATAATCACTCTTCAAATAAGTGTACTTATTTAGTTTATGTCAAATAGTGCTTAAGATTTTATAAAATAAAAGATATGTAATATTTTTGTAATAGTTGAGATTCCTTAACATTTTTACAAAGAAATTTCAGTACAAATAAATTTTGGCACAATGAAAATTGTCTTCACAGAGAAATTTCAGCTCTTAAAAAAAAAAAAAAAATCAACTTCATAGAGGAATTTATCACAGAGAAATTCGTAAAATTTTTCTGTTGATGAATTGAAATTTATATGTGAAGAGATTAAATTCTAATAATATTATTGAGGAAACTTAACTAATAAAAAAATATATATTAGACCTTTTCTATTATAAAAAATTAAAGAGGAATATTTCACTAATTTTTCCTAAAATCAAAATAAAAAAAGATTTTTAATTTAAGTCCTAATATTAAGTTTTAATAAAATAAATAACATATAATATTTTCATAATAATTGGGATCTATCAATATTTTCACAGAGAAATTTTAACAAAGAAAAATTTTAAATCTTTAAAGAAAAATTTCAACTCGTCACAAAAAAATTTCTTACTACAAAATGTTAAAAAGGATATTTCACTAATTTTTTTCATTTTATTTTTTATCAATTTAATTTTTAATTATTAAAAATAAAAAAATAAAAAAATACTAGCATATTGGAGCAAACTGATCTTCGTTCTTCTCCTTGCAACCCACCCATCACTCTGTTTCCTTCCTTTTCAAAGAAAAGAAAAGAAAAGAACATGGCCGGCGCGTTGGTTGGGGGAGCATTGCTGTCTGCTACCCTTCAAGTGTTGTTTGATCGGTTGGCCTCTCGCGAGGTCATCAACGTCTTCCGGGGCCGAAAGGATGGCGATAGACTCCTCAAGAGGCTCAAGCTATCATTGTTGGGACTTAATGCTGTGCTGAATGATGCTGAGAACAAGCAAATCACTAACCCAGCTGTGAAAGAGTGGGTGGAAGAGCTTAAAGATGTCATCTACCATGCAGATGATTTAGTAGATGAAATTGCTACCGAAGCTTTGCGCTCCAAGTCCGAAGCCGACTACCAAAGCAGCAGCAGCAGCACTAGCCGCCACAGCCGCCTAAGCCAGGTACTAAATTTAATCCCTCTGACCTCAACATCCTCTGGCTCTACTACTGCTAGTTTCTTTAATGCGGGGATAGAGTCCAGGCTAGAGAAGATCATTGATGACTTGGAATATTTTGCACAAAAGAAAGATGTCCTTGGTTTGACAGAAGTTTGCGGACATAATAACTGCTTTCTCAAGTCCCAAACCTCTTCTTTGGTCGATGAATCTGGTGTTTATGGAAGGGATTTTGACAAGGAGGATGTAATGAAGGTGCTGCTCTCCGATGATGATGCGAGTGGTAGTAATGAGATAGGTGTGCTTGCAATAGTGGGGATGGGTGGGGTTGGCAAGACCACCCTTGCTCAACTTTTATATAATGATGATAGAGTGGTTGATCACTTTAAAATGAAAGCATGGGTTTGTGTCTCTGAAGAATTTGATGTTCTAAGCGTTACCAGATCAATTTTTGAGGCAGTCACTGGAAAGGCTTGTGATGCCAAGAACCTAGATATGATTCGAGTCAAGCTGAAGGAGTTGTTGATTGGGAAGAAATTTCTTATCGTCCTGGACGATGTTTGGAATGAGAACTATGGTCACTGGGAAAGCTTGAGTCAGCGTTTTAGATATGGTGCACATGGGAGTAGGATTATTGTTACAACACGCAAAGACAGAGTTGCATCTGTCATGAAAACTGTTCATATTCATCGATTGCAGGAATTACCACTTGAAGATTGCTGGAAATTGTTTGCCAAATATGCATTTGAGAAGGGAGATTCCAATTCACATCCAAACCTTGAAAATATTGGCAAAGAGATCGTGAAAAAATGTAAAGGTTTGCCTTTAGCTGTGAAAACATTGGCGGGTCTTCTGTGCTCTAAACGGGATGCTGAGGATTGGAATAATGTATTGAAAAGTGCCATATGGGATTTGCCAGAGGATGACATTCTTCCAGCCTTAAGATTGAGCTATCATTATCTCCCTCCACATTTAAAGAGATGTTTTGCTTATTGTTCCATATTTCCGAAAGATTATGAATTTAAAATGGAGGAATTAGTTCTATTATGGATTGCAGAAGGTTTTGTGAAGCCAAGAAGTAACAAAACAATGGAAGAAGTAGGTAATGAATGCCTCGATGAATTGCTGTCAATGTCATTATTTCAGCCAAGTGCTAGAGAATCTTGTTTCGTCATGCATGATCTTGTTAATGATTTAGCTCAATCTGTGTCTGGAGATTTTTGTTTGAGGTTAGAGAATGACAAGCCACATATTATTGCTGACAAAGTACGCCATTTCTCATATGCTAGAGGCACGTTTGATGACTTTCAAAGATTTAAGGTAATCAATGAGGCTAAGTTTTTAAGGACGTTCCTACCTTTAGGGCGTAGATATTTTCGGAATTGGCTGAGTAAAATGGTTTTGAATGTTATTTTGTCAAGACTAATTTGCTTAAGGGTGCTGTCTTTGCCACATTATCGGATTTTTGAATTGCCTCATTCAATTGGCAATTTGATACATCTACGCTATTTGGATCTCTCTCACACGCAAATCCTACAATTGCCAGAGTCTGTTTGTAACCTGTATAATTTACAAACATTGCTATTGATTGATTGCTATAATCTTACTACCTTGCCAACAGAGATCGGAAAATTAATTCTCTTGCGTCATCTTGATATCAGTGGAACTGCAAAGTTAAGGGAGATGCCAATGCAAATGAGTCGATTAAAAGATCTCCAAACATTAACTGCCTTCGTAGTGGGAAAGTGTAGCTGTTCAGGTATTAATGAGTTGAAGGAGTTTCATCATCTTCGTGGAAGCCTCTCCATTTCATGTTTGCAAAATATAACGAGTTGCACGGATGCAATGGAAGCAAAGCTGAAGGAGAAAAAGTTCATAGGAACATTGGTGCTGAGCTGGGATAGTGGAAATCCTAATGATTCAGAAAGTGAAAGAGATGTACTTGACAAACTACAACCTCATACAAACTTGAAACACCTAGAGGTAAACAGGTACCGAGGCACAAGATTTCCGGAATGGTTGGGAGATCAATCATTCTGTAATATGGTGTCTTTGTCTCTGCAAAATTGTGAGGATTGCTTTTTCTTGCCGTTGCTTGGTCAACTGCCCTCTTTGAAACATCTTACCATTTCTGGGATGCCGAGCATAACAAAGGTGGGCCCTGAATTCTATGGGGATTGTTCTTTAAGCAAACCATTTCAATCTCTAGAGACTCTTAGTTTTTCCAAAATGTTGGATTGGGAGGAATGGTATATATTAGATGATGGAGAGTTCTCTCGGCTTCAAGAGCTTCGGGTAACCAACTGTCCGAAACTGATTGGAGGCTTACCCAAACACATTCCATCTTGGGTGAGAGTTGAGATTAGGGACTGCCCAGGGCTTATGGCTTCACTTCCTAGGACATGTGCTGCAAATCAATTAGTATTGCAGGGATGCAATAGTGTAGAATTGGGATGGCAAGGTTTGTCTTCTCTCGTAAATTTGGAAATTTCATCTGCAAGTTTGAAGGAACTGACACCCAAACTATATACCTTAATATATCTGAAGGCTTTGAGGATAGAGCGATGTCCAGACCTATTGTTATTTCCAGACACAAGGTTGCCTCCCATGCTTACAAACCTTACAATCATTGATTGTAGGGCTATATGTTGTTTGCCGGAGAGAGTGATGCGTCTCAACAGTTGCCTTAAACATTTGATTGTTCGTGCCTGTCCGAAACTAGTTTTTCCACTATCTGAGGAGATGGTGAACTGCTACACATCCCTGGAATCTTTGTCCTTGGCCACCTGTGATACTCTCTCATCCCTGCCACTAGGATTGTTTCCAAAGCTTCAATCTCTAAACATCGAAAACTGTAGAAATTTTGTGACTCTTTCAACTCTAAACGGACTTGGATTCCAAAATTTCACATCACTCGAATGGCTTTACTTGGATGGGTGCTCTAATATGGAATCTTTTTCGCAACAAGTATTAATAGCTCCCAATCTGAAAAGTTTTGGTCTCTGGAACTGCAAGAAACTCAAGTCGTTGCCCGATCGAATGCATAGCCTCACATCTCTTCAATCATTGAGTATATGGAACTGCCCAGGAATTGAGTCATTTTTGGAAGGGGGTCTGCCCTCCAGCTTACATGGTCTTGAAATCAGGAATTGTGCGAAACTTGTGGCTCGGAGGAGAGAGTGGGGTTTGCAAAGACTCCCTTCTCTTACAAGTTTTTATATCTCGGGTGAATATGAAGAAGATGTCCTAGAGTCCTTTCCGGAGGAGGGTCTGTTGCCCTCAACTCTCATATGGCTGGAGATCAAAGACGTACCAAATCTCAAATCGCTGAACAACAGGGGCCTTCAACATCTTGCCTCTCTCAAAAACATGAGGATTGCGGGGTGCGCTCAACTCCAATCCTTGCCGGAAGAAGGGCTTCCAACCTCCCTCTTTTTGCTGGAAATCTCCAAGTGTCCATTGTTGAAACCTCGTTGCCTAAGGGAGGAAGGACAAGACTGGCATAAGATTGCTCGCATCCCCTTACTACATACGGATTCTGAACTCAGCTTTGATCAACGCACTCTCGCTCCAACACAACATTACTCTCTGTTTTATATCATTTGGTAGTCAGAAATCTTCTTACCTTTCAAGTCAGGTATTTGCTAACACGCTATAAAATATTTTCAACAATTAAATAATAGAAAATGTTATATATAATTTTACTTGTCATATTTTCTTCTTTTTTTTTTTTTTTCCCGGTTCATATTAGTTTTGTTGTAATCTTGCATGTTCTATCTTATATTTGTTTTCTTATTTTAGTTTCATAGTAAGCATTTATTGTTTTGAGCACCAAATTTTTTTTTTTTTTATGTTTTATAATGAAAAAAAAATAATGTAAGAAATGAGATTATTTGTAACATTGGTCGTAAATAATTAATCTGCCAATAATTCATTTAATTCCTTCCATTTGGAAAAAAGGTTCTCCTCCAACTCATTTAAATCCGCTCATTTGCCACCTCTAAGTGTAATGCAACACATTTAAGTCTGCTCATTTGCCACCTCTAAGTGTAATGCAACACACTTTATGATTGGTTAACAGATTACATAATTAAAGAAAATATATATTTGGAATCCTAATTATTTTAGATAACTTGTTTATCTTTTTCGTAATTGTTTTTTTTTTTTTAACTATCAAATTGTTCTACAATTAGTACCAGTTTAAAATTTACATACATTAAACAACATTGTGCGCCATAGAATTTTGTTAAAAAATTAGTTTATTTGGTTTAATTTTTGTAAAATATGTTTGAGTTTTTTTATCCCATTAATTTTTTATTTTTTTTGTCTTTAGAAACTTTTTGATATTTTAGTCAAATTTTTTAAAAAAACTTTAGATGCACCTAAAAATTAAAATATTTGTGAAAAAAAATCTAAAAATAAAAAATACTTTTTTTACTAAAAATAAATAAAAAATAAAAACAAAAGAAAAATATTTTTTATTTATTATATCTTTAGTGATTTTATCCAATATTTCTTCGATAAACAATATTGCCAAACATATGTAAATTTTTAACAATATTGCCAAACATATGTAAATTTTTAATTGGTATTAATTGTGCAATACAATTGTAAAACAATTTAATCATGCAAAAAAAATAAAAAATTATGGATTGTTCAAAAATTGCCAAAATTAAATTATATATTTTTAAACAAACATTTAATTTAAAAAAAAATACACAAGTTACATAAAATAATTAAGTTTTCAAATACATAGTTAATCTCTTAGTCAATCATAGAGTCACATTACCTGAGTTGTAAAAATTCCTATATCCTAGATTGGTGGAAAATCTCTTTCATTCCATTCACCTACCTTTATTAAGGGTGATGCTATTAGGCCTCAAAATTAAACCTATTTTTTAAACATAATAGTATGGAAATTTATTAGAATATTTAAGACAACTCTTTCTCTCATATTTTTTTTTTTAATTATCAGTAAATTATTTAACTTACACATCATTAAGCATAGAAAATGAGTTGCATATCATTTTTCATTCCATTCACCTTTATTTATTAATGATTTTCACTCAACCACTTCTCTCACTCTCTTTGCTTGATAGGAAAAAAAAAAGGTCAAATGCTTGAATATTTCGTGTATCAATAACAAGGTTGCGGCCTCCTCCTCAATCAGGTACGCGCTTCTGCTTTCATTTTAGATGGTCTTAATTTATTTATTGAGTAATTATTTTTGACGCCCAAAACATCATCCTTAAATTTATCCACACGTGGTAGGAGGTTAGATATTAGTTAATTGATTTCTAAGACTATGTTTGGATTAAGAATTTGAGGAGGAATTTACAAAAGGAAATGAAATAGAAAGGAAAAAAAGTAAAATGAAATAGATATTAATTTTGTTGTTCCATTTTCATTTTTCTTTCTGAATTCCTCGTCAAATCATTGATCCAAACACAACCTAAAATATATAAATCAACAACTTACAATAACAATCCATGTTGGGAATAAACTATTCTAAACATTTTAGGGGGGTCTTAAACATTTTTTTCATTAATTTTGTCTACATTTGTTATAAGGCTGGTTAGATCTTGAAAGTCATGTTGCATACACTACTCTAAATTGGTGAAATACTACTTAGGATAGCATAAGAATGTGTCCCTGGACAACTAGACAATAGTTAAGGCTCCATTCGTTTTGATGTGAAATATTTTAAACTCAAAAATATTTTTCTTATAAATTGTTTTTGCACGAAAAAAAAAAATGGTGTTTACATGACACTTTAAAACCAAAAATTTCTATTGTCGCGTGGGTAGAAATCAATGAAGAGTCACCATTTTATCTTTGAAAAGATTAATGTGCTTGAAGGGCCTAGTTGGGAGTAGACTTCCTAAAAATCAACTTTCAAATTCTTTAATGGCAAATCATTTTGGGAGATTATGACCAAAAATATTTTTCCCAAAAAAATGTTTCACTTACTTTTGTTCAACCAAACAACAGAAAATATGTAAAATATTTTTGAGAAAAACATTTTACGTCCAAACAAAGAGAGCTTGAATGAAAATTGTATTTAAAAAAGTATGAAATTTTGTTGTGTGGTAAAATCTTTGGAGGGTGGGAAATGAAAATTAGATTTATCCGATACTTGGACTGATATCCACACCCAACAAATGTGTCCCAATTCATGTAACAGAAAGCATTATTCCACGAAACCAATTCTTCTTCAACAACAGTGAGTTCTAAACATTTTTTTTATTCCACGAAACCTCAATATGTTGCCGGTTTTTGTTTTTAATTTTATCGGAAAAAGGTGAAATTTTATTGATGCGGCAAAAGATAACAAACTTATATCAAAAAAAAGCTAAGCTCATTAGCATCATTGGTACATACCACCTGCCAATCACAATAACCAAGGCCAAGAGAACAAACAAAAGCAAGTTGGCATGACACCAACTAAAACTCCCTCTATAAAACAAAAAATCCCCAAGATAATACTAACTAAACAAACACCCCAGTACATAGCAGCCCAAAATAAACAGGAAACAGCTCCTCTAGATATTCAACAACTACAAAGGTGTTGGAAGAAAAACACTACTGTTTGTGTGTTGTTGTAATGTTTAAAACAAATCAGAAATACACTGTGTTTTCTATAAACCAGAAACCAAAACACAGAAACTGTTTGAAGCAGAAAACTGAAAACCAAAATTTGTATTAGAAAGAAAAAACACAGACAATATTTTGTGACTCTATGACAGTGTTGAAACAGAATAGAAACAAATATCCGAAAAACAACTCTGTATAAATCAAACGGAAACAGGAAAATCTTACAGTTTGTATGAATGCAGAAAATCAGGTTGATCAAAGCTTATTGTTTGACACCATGTACAAAATTTCGTCCCTTGCATTGGTTCTTACGAACTTCTTGGACGCATCAACATGGCATGCAATATGTCAGCCAGCTGAACTGTTTGAAGCAGAAAACTGAAAACCAAAATTTGTATTAGAAAGAAAAAACACAGACAATATTTTGTGACTCTATGACAGTGTTGAAACAGAATAGAAACAAATATCCGAAAAACAACTCTGTATAAATCAAACGGAAACAGGAAAATCTTACAGTTTGTATGAATGCAGAAAATCAGGTTGATCAAAGCTTAGCGTTTGACACCATGTACAAAATTTTGTCCCTTGCATTGGTTCTTACGAACTTCTTGGACGCATCAACATGGCATGCAATATGTCGCCAGCTGTAACTGAAGATTTCTGTTGCAAGTAGTAGAAAAGATGTGTGGTGCAGTATAAGTTCCTTTTTTGTGACATATAGTTTGATTGCAAGCAGCCTCTTCCAGTAATAAAAAAGATTGTAAGTGGTTTCTGATCACTATTACAAGCTTACTTGTAAAATTCATGGAGGGTACTGTAAATTTTCCCCAGTATTATATTTTTTAGATGAGCACACTGGCATATGTAAATTCTAATTTGTGCAGCTTTGTGGATTGTGTTCTTGTTCTATCGAATTGCTATTCAGATTTTCTTCGTGACTATTTATATCTTGATGTTTCCTACCAGCCATTGCTTCGATTACAGAAAAATTAGATATCATAAGCTTTTCCTCGTTCACTCTTTGAAAACTGTGCAGTTTATTATTGAAGTTGGTGCTAATTGCGTAGTTTGCCTCTAAAAATGTTCTTGCAATTTTGAAATACTCTACTTTTTGTTCTTCATTTTTTTGAACTCGTGACTTGTTTAGATTTTTGCTAATTGAAATACTATTACTGGTTCCTATTACAAGTTAGATTTTTTTGCTTCATTGTTGTACATCCATTTGCCTGAACACTTTTTTTCACTTTTCTTAAGCAATATTTGCTTTCATCAATCTAAAACTTGATGTTCAAGAAAGTAAGATTATTGGTGTTTTGGCAATAGGAAATAGGCAAGAAGCCACAACGGCAACTCTTCTCTTTACTTTTTTGTATGTTTTTCATAAAAAATAAAAAAACTAAAATAGTCAATTCCCAAAGTAACGTAGTTCCATCCATTTTTTTTTTCTTTTTTTTAATTAAATTTCTGATGGTTTGTGTAGTGCTTGATTATGCCTCCTATAAGTTGAATTCTTCCTCAAAGTCATGTAGTTTGTTTCATTGATTTTTATTTTTATTTTTTTCTATGTTTGCTGTATTATTGCATTTCACTTGATGATATGATGAGTTACAAGAGTTCTGGATTTGTTATAGAATTCTCTCGAATTTGGCACCAACCAAACATTGTTTTGACTTTTAGTCTTGAGTACTTACTTGGTTGAGTTTTCAGAATCTGTTTATGAAATTTTTTCAAAAATATTACAAATTAATTTCACAAAAATAAACACAAAAAAGACTTTATGAGTTTTTTATTTTTATTTTTATTTTTTTCACTAAACTAGTTTTTGAAAAGTTTTCAAAAACAGATTATGAAACTTAACGACCATGACATAACATTGTACTGTCTTATATAAAGATTTTGTGTAGCATTGTAAAAGTGAAGTCTTCTATTACAGGACAATAAAAACATTGTGTGTGAAAATTTTGCAAGGTCTTTGGCTTCTATGAGCCTGAAGTGAAAAACTACTTATTAAAAAAATAATTAAATAAAGTGAAAAAGCTATTT